CTGCTGAACAGGAGCAAGCAGCCAGGGCTAGTGATGCCATGCCAGTCTGGAGGCATGAAGTCACCCTGAGAGTCCTTGCAGGCCTAGGGTTGCCATTGCCAACAAAGACAAATTGATGCAAAGGAGAATGGAAAAGCCTCCATATCTCTATTTTGCCTTAAATTGGTTTTGATGCCAGCAGAGTGAGAAAATGCCAGAGGCTCTGGGTGGGTGCCCCATCGTGAATGCACCATCGTGAATGCACCAAACAGTTCCTAAAGATTTTCCAAAACACTACTCTGTCGATAAATTGCAGCACTTTGAATTAGCACCAGAGCTTTAAGAGCTCTGTTCCATACATACTGTGCTACATAATTATTTTTTGATATACATAATTGTGACATGCCACCCCTTTTTCATTTCTGTATCCCCTTCACATCTTTACTTTGTTTTCTAAAAAATAAAAATATATCTTTCAAAAAAACGAAAAAAACGAAAGAAAGAAAACTCCACCGATACACCAGCCTCCTGCTTCCCATGTTGCTAGACTCGGGGGGGGGACCCCCTTAGCCGAGGTCATCCCATGCAGTAGTCCTCAGAGCTGGCCGGGGGCTTCCTTGCCAACGCCCTCTCACCACCGGTGGCTGTGGCCAATGGCACACGGTGGATTCTTTCACTCAAATGCAAATGGAAGGGGGCACTGGTTGAGTGCAGGTTCATCCTCATTCTCAAGGATGTGAACTAATAACAGAAGTTGCTGGAGCTCAATGGTAAAGCATGTGGGCTTGCCCCACGACTCCCGTGACCACCCTCCTGCCTCGGGGCTCCCAGAGCCATCAGGGGAGCCTGCAGGAGACCAAGCATGCCAGCCATGCCTGGGGCCAAGCTCGGCACAGACACAGGGCCAACAGAGGCCAGAAGCCCGGGCGGAGCCACAGCAGCCAATGCCGCGGTGGGTGGGGTGAGCGCAACGCCAGGGGTCCGCAGGAGACCAGCCACATCCTTGACCCAGGAAGGGTGGGTGGAAATCAGTCCTGCCCCAATGGGCACGGGGGCAGACCAACTCCCGCCAGGTGGGTGGCTACTGCAGGGAGGGCAGGCCCGGCCCACGCCACGAGGCAGGCGAAAGGGGTGAGACCAGAGCACAGGGCAGGGCCCAGAGAGCCAATCACCCGGGGCCACTGGTGATGGGCAAGAGCCGAGGCCACGGGCAGAAGAGGGGGGGAGGGGCTGCTGACAGGGCAAGAGGGGCCTCCCAGAGCAGACCGGGGAGGAGCAGCCGGGAAGCCTGAGCTGCAGACCAAAGGACAGGAGGAAGAGGGCGAGGGTGAGCGCAACCCCCTCTCGTTCTGGGGTCTGTGGAGCATCCCAGTGCGACAAGCAAGATGGCGGAAGGCGGCATCCCCCCAGAGGTGGACTTGTGGTATGACCCAGGTCCAGTCCTTGGCATCTCCAGTTAAAAGATCAGGCAGGAGGTGATGGGAAAGACCTCTGCCTGAGGCCCTGGACAGCCCCTACCAGTCTGAGTAGGAAACACGGACTTCAATCAGGCCATTTCATTGAACAAGTCAAAAGCTTTAAGTCTTTGGGTATCCACTTTTACTATAACACCAGATGGGTCTATCGTAAAGAGAGAGCAATTGAGGCAGCGAACAACGTTGTTGCGACAATTACACGTTTCCATTATACCAGGGGTAACCAGTACATGCCGGCGGCCCTTAAAGTTTTTAATGCCAAATTAGCTGCTCAATTATTCTGCGGAGTACCAATCTGGATTGAAGCCTTAAATGGGGACTTGGAAAGAATTCAGTCCAGATTCTTGCAGAAAATTCTTGGACTTCCCTCGTGTGTTCCTTATGCACCTTTATGCTTACAAACCAATCAAAGGCTTCTATCGACCAGAGCATGGCTGATAACAACTCAGTTTTGGCTGAGTTCATTTCAATGCTAAAGCTAAAAGTATTATTACATGTTAACTGAGTCCCATCTCTCTCCATGGCTTAGATATGTAGAGGAGAAACTCTATATAATGGGAATATCCCCGGATTATTTAGCCCCCTTTTCAGCCTACGCTATTATTAAACAAAGATTTCTTGACATCGAAAGGCAAGAACTTAGGGAACGCGCAGCCAGCAAAGGCTCCCCAAGCAGGTTGGGGACTTTTGACAAGGGCTCTACTGCGAAGTATCTGTCAAGTTTAACAGCCCCACATCATTGCAGAGCATACATGCTTGCACGCTATCATGTTCTGCCATCAGAGGTGCTTTGAGGGAGGCACTGCCAGATACCATATATGTAGACAGACTTTGTCCTTAGGGCTCTCCACTTACACACACCATACTTCATTGCCCCCTCTATAGGGATATCCGATCTCGTTTGATTACTCCACTTCTAGAGGGTAAGAGCTGTCACTCTGATGACTCAGTTGTTCACTTTCTTCTGTTTAATTCTAATTGAGAAATAATGGAGGCTGTTGCAAAATTTTTCTATTCTGCAATCAGAAGACGAGGCTTCAATAGCCAAGTGTCAGTGACTGATGCATCTTAGTGTTGTCCTGTATTTCCCTGATGTTTTGTGCTTTCATGCCAATAAAGGTTTTGTGTGTGTGACTTCAATGGACCAAGGGTCCGATTCAGTACGAGGTAGCTTCTTGTGTTCATGTGCCAGACAGCTCATCAGAAGCCTCTTGGGGTGGGATATGGGTCCAGTCTTGATTACAGACTCTGATCTAACTGGGTGCCACAATCGCCCCAAACAGCACTGGCCAGATGGACCAGGGCCCCCAGAAAGGCAACCAACCTCTCAGGCTCCACCTCGCAAGCGTCTTTCCCCGCGTACCTTCTGGGTGTGGTCCGCTGTCCCTCAGGCAGCACGGGTCTCGGCTTCAATCTTCTGCTCCCCGTGCAAACTCTCCAGCTCTTGCACCTGGGCCACGTTCTGCCTGATGGCGATCTCAGGACCTCCGCCATACAGCGTGCTCAAGTAAACCCAGGTCTCCTCAGAAATTTGCCCGTAATCAGCCCCTGGGGAGGGGAGGGACATACACCAAAGAGGGTTCCACTCGCTTCTGTTGCGGCACCCCCTTATCACCTGGTCCAGAACACCGTGGCAAGCACGGCACTAGACCTGGTAAGTAAATCTGCTCCCCAGTGAATTCAGATACAAGATGAAAGGCAATATATGTAAACAAGAAAAAAAATACATGTGCCCAAATCTAAACACCAAAAATCAATGATTTCATAAATTATATCGATATGAACCTTTCCCACTAATGAAAATGGCATAGTGGTGAAATGCTTCAGATTTTTGAAGGGAGGTTCCAAGAAATGTTTGATTCTCCATTGGGAATCACCAGGGGTCATTTCCTACCGGAACGCACCAAAACGGCACTCCGGCAGTAAGGAGCCCAGAGGCAGCCTCCCCCACCCCCTGGGGGGATTTAAATGCCTTTCTTTCCCTTCCCCAGATGGAGAAGTGAAAGAAAGGCATTTTAAACATGCCTGGGTTCCCTGCCCGATCATCTCCAGGTGCCCCACAGCTGCCCTTTGTCAGGGGGTGTGGCATATGTAAATGAATTATGCAAATGAGCTCCTGCACCTCTTTTTCTACAAAATGACCCCTGGGAATCACTGAGAATTGCTGTATCTGAATATACTTTGTGGATTTCTATGTGTATCTTTGAAATGCTGAATCCAGCATGATTCTGGAAAAAATTATTGAAACAGATTTATAACCGGAGGTTTGTTGAGTCAGCTGGCAGAGACACGACCACATCCTTACTGTTCAAGGACCTTTTTGAATTTATTATTACAAATTGTTTATGGGAAAACTCCGCCTGTGACTTTCTACCCGTGATTAAGTTTACCTGTGAATTTCTACCCCAGTGAATTCAGCCTGCGACTCCTCCCCAAGTCCCAAGCGCTCAATCCCACCGAGCTCTGCCTAATTTTAGCTCTGGCGGGGCAGGGGCAGGGGCAGGAAGCAGTCGGGAGGAGAGGAAGAGGTGCCCAGAAGAGCCTTACCCTGCTTCACCTGCATGTGGCCACTCCCTTTCGCCACGGCGATCCTGCTGTTGTCAATTGGTCCGGGCGGCTCTGCAAGGAGAGGGAAGTCAGGAGCTGTTCTCTCTCAGCCTCCCTTTCTCCTCACAAGCCCGCGTCTGCTTCTGCTGCTCAGCCAGAGTCAGCGTCCACTGGAGAAGACCATCAGTCAACACAGAAAAGGGCAACTCAAAATTGGTTTCCAGGGAATCTTCCCTCTCCAGGCACATTTGACCAAAAGGCAGTGCTGCAATCTGGGTTTTGCTCATTTCGTTCTCTGGAACTGCCACCCTTTTCTGCCTTGTCCTTGCTCCTAAAGCAGGGCCTCTGGATCGCTTTCTCTTCTGGCCTGTGAGGCTACACAGAGGCCCCACTCTGCCTACAAATCAGCCCAACCGGCCTGCTCTGACCTTGCGCGCACGAGGGTTCAGCAAAGAGATGGCACTGGCTGACACCGCTTATATTCCAGGGCCTTGGGGCATCGCTGTCTACAATACTTTTTCCCCTCCATACCTGTGAGTAGTATTTATCCATCTAGCTGCCAAACAGAGGGAGCACCAGGTAACTAATAAAGCAAGATCAAGCCTCTGCCATTTCTTTGCTGCCTCATTCTGCTGTATGCTTAGAGGAGGCCTCCACTACAGGAATCTGTGGGCTAAACCTTAATTTTAAAAAAATTCTTGACCACGAAAAAATCTGCCTCTCTTACTGAATCAAAAGATTAATCCAACAACAGATGTCCGCTTCAGCCTAAAAAAGCTTCATTTCTGAAAATAATCAATATACATTATTCTTATGCCAAAAAAAAAAAGTCTACACTTGGATAATATATAAGAAAACAAGGCCTCTCCCCACAGAACCCCCGTCAGGAAGGACCAACTGATCCAGATTCACCTGAGGCACCAATTACCCACCCCTGCTCGAGGCAGACTGGAAGGCTACACAGCCAGAAGAGTGATCTGTGCAGAGACACAGCAGCCAACCTCCCCTGAGAACAGGCACTCCTGCCACAGGAGTCTACCCAAACCACAACAGACAGGCGAAGGAAGCTTTGACTCCCGAAAGCTCTTGTATCCTGGAATCTTGTCGGTCTCTGACCCTCAGGGGCTCCAGGAAGCCAATCCAGCTGTTCTCCTGCAGACCGACACGGCCGCCCTCTCTGACTACAGAGGGAATTGCCCAAAGACGGCAGGGAGGGCCCAGGGGCTGCCCCTCCATTAAGGGAGCTCTGACTCCGACGTTCCCTGCTGCGGCGCAGGAGCCTGCGCTTGATCACAGATCTGGGCCAGCCAGGCCACTGACACCCTTGGCTTCCCTCCTTGCCGCCCCCCTCCCCTGGACTCACCGTTGTCTTTGCCTTTCACGAATGCCTCCCACTCACGGAACCACTGCATACTGATGCAATAGATGACGCTCGGGGACTCCTCCGCCTGGAACGCTTTGTTCAGCTGATGGCCGCCAGGGCACAGAGGGGGAGGACAGGGAGGGGGGCAAGAGGGGTTAGAGAGTGCGGGCAAAACCACTGCCACCACCCAGCCAGGCTTCTGGGGGCGGGGGCGGGCCATGCCCGTTTAACCAGCCGATGTTGGGGGAGACCCCTTGTTGTCCGAGAGCCACCTCCCGTCGGAGGAGCCAGAGCCGAGCTAGAGGGACCCACGGCTGGGTACAGCCTCAGGATGCTTCCCAGGAGCCGCTGACCCTCGAGCCATTCCGACCTCTCCTGGCTGTGCCTTAGGGGAAGGGCCCGAGAGTCCCCGGTGGCGGAGCCCCTTCTCTGACCTGGAGCAGGGAGGCTTCAGGCCCGCCCTTGCGCCTGCTCCCGCCACGGTCGCCGGCGTCCCCCTACCTTAATGAAGGTGTCGATCTCAATCCTCCTCCTCTTGGCCAGGGCTTCGATCTCCACCTGGCACACCGAGCACACGTAGAGGTGGTTCACGGCTGGTCCCCCACCAAACCTACAGAGAGGACAGAGGATGCTCCATGCCAGGGTCGCCAGCTCCAGGATGAGAGATACATGGAGATTTTGTGGGTGGAGCCTGAGGAGGGCGGGGTTTGGGGAGGGGAGGGACTCCAGTGGGATATAATGCCATAGAGTGCACCTTCCAAAGCAGCCACTTTTCTACAGGTGAACTGTCATCTGGAGATCAGTTGTAATAGCGGGAGATTCTCCAGCCACCACCTGGAGGGATGGCAGCCCTACTCCATGCCAGTGTTCCCTCTAAGCTGAGTTAGTGTGAGCTAACACACAGTTTTTTAGCCTCTGGCTCACACATTTTTGTCTCAGCTCCGGGAGGATGGCTCCCCAGAGCAGACTAATTTATACAGTGGCCAAATGGCTCGCTCACAACTTTAATGCCAGGAGATCACAAAGGAGAATTTTTGCTCACAAGACTCCACAGCTTAGAGGGAGCATTTCTCCATGCATCCACAGCAGGGCCTTTTCTTCCTGCAAGGCTAGAGGTGGGCAAACTTAATGTTTTTGCTAGTCCTGGGGGAGGCAAGACAAAGCTATGCAGAGCTGCAAATGTCTACTAGCCCCCATTTTTGGCTTCTTGCCATACGCTCGCCAACCTCTCTCAGCAGACAAAGGACTAGACCAGGGGTGGCCAAACTTGCTTAACGTAAGAGCCACACAGAATAAATGTCAGATGTTTGAGAGCCACAAGACATGAACAAATATTACACACGTTTTAACTGGGAAATATGCAAATGTACTTTTTATGAACATTAAATGAGACTGCCAAAAATAATAACAAAAGTGGTAAAGGCAGATATTGATAATATTTGTTTGTCCAATGGTATTTGTTTGCTCATGATATTTAGCTTCCCCAGCCGCTCTGCCGGCAGCCACACAATATGTGTGAAAGAGCCGCATGTGGTTCCCGAGCCACAGTTTGGCCACCCCTGGACTAGACACTTGATTTAAAAACACCGGTCCTGGGATTCTCAGGATCTATGAACTGTGCAGATAAAGGAGTGGGGGTGAAGACTCTGCATTTGCAAGGTGTACGGGCCCTCCTATCTAGTTGACATGTGAGCTCTACAGAGCACGCGCACAGGAGAATCCCATGCACACAATCCACAGCTCTCGGCACAGCTCATGTGAAGGTAGCCTTTGCATGCTGGATGAGGGTACCTTAGCCCTGGACGGGCAAGAGGCTCCCGCAGCCAAAATCAAAGCAGGCTCAGCACTACGGAGCAGGGCTGCCTCCTCACCTGTTGTACAGATACTCCCAGACGTTCTGGGGAAGAATCACCACGAGATCATCGATGTAATGGTATTTATTTGGAGGGATGCCTGCGAAGAAACAAGAGGATTAAAACCACATGTCCTCCATCCGGTGCACTCTTTGGGAAGACACAGGATTGCAGTAACCAAGCTATACGCTTGCGAGGAGAAAGGGTACCAGCAGGTGGAGACAGAGCCAGTATGACTTTCTGCTCCAAAGGGAATTCACTCACTTCCTGGCCCAGTGGGCACATCTCGCTTGAGGAACCCTACGTCAAGGAGGATGGATGAAAGGGGAGGAATGTGCCACGCAGGGATTTAACCACATGGACAAAGACATGTGAGGCCAAAGACAGGTCTCATCACTTTACTGACAGTCAGGCCTACAATTCAGAGGGGGCAGACGTCTCCCTGCAGCACACTGGACTGTTTGGTCGGAAAGGGGGAAGAGGCTGGGAAGAGGCTCAGGGAACAGCCACTCCCTGGACAGAGGTGCTGATCTGTACGAAGGGCCTAGGTTTATGTTGTTCTTGACGATTTAAATTAAGTGTCATTTCTGTGCTGTAGAAATCTAATCTGCTTTAAAACGCCCCCCCCCCCCAAGAGAGGGAACAGGAGAGAAACAGTCGACATGCACAATCCAAATTAAGTGAACAAGCCAGACGTATTACTTGGTAGCTTGCAGAGGAAATTCCGTCGATACATCCTGTCCCGTGTCCCCCCCACCCCGGTGTCCTTCTCAGCAGAGGCCCCAGCAGCCTTCGGGATGCGGAGATGCCCCCTCACCTCCATGGGAGCAGAGGAAGGTATGGTTGGTGATGGGGCCTGGCTCTGCAAAGGTGTTGAATTTGTTGAGCCATTCCCGGGAGATATAGAACTGCAGCAGTCCGGGCTCCTTCATGGTGGCCAGGGAGACGACCTTCTGGCGCTCCCGCACCGCCTCCTCGCTGCTCTTCCTGGGGGGAGGCGAAAGAGAGTCAGGGTGGGGGGTGGGGCAAAGCATCAAACATCAGGCCATCCCTGCCCCAGGCCTGAAGGTCCCACTTCGTGGGGTAAAGGGGCCTCCCCACCCCTCCCCACCTTGCAGACTGATTTCAGGAGCGAAGAGAAGACCCTTCCTTCAAAACACCACTGTCTTTTTTTTAAGTGAGGAAGAGTCACATACGTCAGTGTGGTATACTGTTTAGAGCAGAGTTCCCCAACGTGGTGCCCACAGGTACCCCGCCCACCCCCTTTTCTGGTCCCTGCCAAGTGTTTTAACTTTTAAGGAAGTGGGTGGGGCCAGGTAGGCCTTGTGCCCAGCAAGGCTTCTGATTGGCTGTGCAGTTTATTTTTAAATGCTGCTTTGGCGGCAGCTGCCACCGCGACACAGGGATCTTCCCTGTGTTATTGGAGTTAAGCTGCGGCAGCCATTTTGTGTCCGGCTCCGCCTTCTGTGGCAGCCGTTTTGTGGTCACGTCAGAATTCCAAATGTGCCCAAAAGGCTCCACAGGTTGGAAACTCCAGGGTGAGAGTGTCAGACTAAGACCGGAGGGAGGACGGATCCAACCCCCACTCTACCAAGAAGGCCGCTGGTTACCTTGGGCCTCACTCTCTTTTTCAGCCTAACCTCCCCCCACCGAGTTGTTCTATGGATAAAATGAACCATCATGCTGCCCTGAGTTCCTCTGAGGAAGGGCAGGATGAGAGAGAGAGAGAGAGAGAGAGAGAGAGAGAGAGAGAGAGAGAGAGAGAGAGAAAGAGAGAAAGAGAGAAAGAGAGAGAGAAAAAACATCTCCCCCCCCCAGCATCATGTAAAGTACAGCACTGGTGCAGGTCCTGCAGGAACTGAGCAAGGGACTACTGATGGGGAAGGGAGAGAATGAGGCAGATGTGAAAGAGAGAGAGACCAACTGCATCCACTGAGGGTATTTCTCTCCAGACCCACTAAAGGCAGGGGTCATTTCCTGCAGGAGCGCACAGGAGCGGAGCTATAGCAGTAAAGAGCCCAGGGGGCGGGCACATGCAATAAGCCCCACCCCCTGCTCCCAGCAGCCCTCAGTCAGAGCAAGAAGCAGCCAGGTAAGCTGCAGAGTATATACACACACCACTTCAGACTCTTTTGACATTTCTTTTTTTAAAAACTCTAAGAAGAAACTTAGTGCAACATAAAACAGCTAAGACTAATCTCTCTCTCCTAGAGATGGGTGTGTTTTGCAGGGTTTGTTTGGCTTTTGTTCACTTTTCTACTTTCAGGGAATGGTCTTAACGTTGGGAGCACTCCAAAACCTGCACAATCCACACTTCCGTTTCAAGACTCCCCTACCTTATTAGGCATCGACTACCATTTTCAAAAGGCAGACTATTAAAAAAAAAAAGGCATTTCCCCCAAATTTCCATTTCCATGCCCTGGAAACCGCATCCTTTTGGCCAATGCCTTTCTCACTTCTAGAAATGTTGCCAGCCAGGAATGCACATATGGGCGAACTTCCCTCAACGCGACCCCTCACCTGTAGAACAAGACATAGGCTTCTGCGTTCTGCACAACCGTCTCGTGCACCTCTGTAACATACTGGTCATCAAATTCATACCACTGGCCGTTGATCACGTTCTGGCAGTAGGCAATGTAATGCCCACCTGCAAAAGGAGAAGCCGCCTTGAGCGCGCTCTGTGCAGACCTGCTTGACCTGCTGAAACCGACAGGCAGATCTGAAGATGGACACAACCCAGCACACCTTCAGCATTTGGAACTCACTGCTACACGACACTGCATTGTCCACAAGCATAAATGGATTTTAAAACAAAAACCGGAGGCCTTCAGCTGAATACTCAGAACATTTTGCTGATCGATATGGGTCTTTTCTCCCCTCTGATCAGGTCTTATCTCCCCTCTCTAGGCATTCTCTGCCTCCCGATTTTAAACCTGCATTCAGACCCCTCAGAGGCCCCTGCCTTCTTTACTAGACCCATTTGTTTTACTCCTCTTTGCCTACTTCCAGACCTGTCTCTCTCTGATGTCAGAAGAGCTCAGCCAATCACACTGAGGCAACCCTCAGTGCATCACAACACGGATATTCAATGAGTATGTGAAAGCTGGACTTTGCAGTGGCTGCTAGCTGTGAATCGTGGCCTACGATTTTCAGAAAATGGCACACCAACTGAGAAATCTGGAGACAGACTTCCAGTTGAGCTTCCTTTCTGATGTCCAGCTGGCCAGGATCGGAAAGGCAAAGGGACAGATCACACCCAGAGTGGGAATACTTCCATATTCCTCACCTCCCGCCCCTCTAGTACAGCTCAACTCGCATGCACCTTCTGGACACAGGCAAAGAACGACGAGGAGACTTACTGCCCGCGGTGCCGTGGTGGCAGATGACAGACAAGAGGTCGTAAGTCGTGACCTGGGAGACGCTCTCCTTGGCCAGGAAAGGCCGGAGGTCCAGCCCCTCCAAGGGGAAGGAGACGTGGCTGTTGATTTTGAAGGAGTACATGACCTCGTGCCGGAAGCGCTTCAAGTGGATGCACAGGATCTAGGGGAGGGAAGGAACATGGGGCAAGCGGCTGACCCATCAGAATCCAAAACGGTGACCTGAAGCCAAGCCGCCTGTGCACAACAGCCTAGAGATCTCTCTAGAGGCCAGTCTTTGCTTTCACACACACCCTCCCACACACTGTCGCAGTTGACCATCAGTAACAGGGCTTAGTGGTTAATGAGGCTTTCCCAGCATCTGGCCAACGCTGAGCAATTTGGGACAACATCTGGGCATTTGTGTAGGAAGCAGGTGAGGAGGCAGGTAGCGCAGATCACAGCTCCTGGGAAACTCATCAGGGGCTCCTCATTTACTGGACCAGTAATCCTGGACAGGCTGGGGTGGCAGGTCTGACAATACTCATCTGTGACACTGCAGGGGAGGGTTTGGCACATCCTAGACCACACCCTGGATTCATGCAAGGCAACAAAGAATTGTAGATTGGGGGTTCCTGGTTCAGATAGAAAACCAAACCAAGGTTCGACATGGCTGCAGAAGCATTCCTAAGTGAACAAGCAAGGGATGAGCTCATTTCAAGGGAGTTTGTTTGCCGTTACCAACCTGCCCATAGGGAAGAGCCACTGAAAGTTCCACATGCAGAGGCTGCCACGCCTCTGAGTCAGTCGCTGGGCTGAGGGAAGCATGCCCTGCTTGTGGGTAGTGGCACCTGGGTGGTTGCTATGAGAAACGGGATGCTAGCTTAGATGGACCGTCACCATGTCAACAGCTTCGACTATAGCCCTGGCCCTTGGTTCTCGACACCTAGCCTGCGCCGCCTGTTTGTTAGGAAGATCTTGAGCAGAATCATGGTGAGATCTGTGTACACTCTTAAGAAAGCCGTCTTATAACAACTAACTATTTATTATGCAGCAGCACTTGATAAATTATGATCGTTTACTGTTGAATTGTTTTTAGATGATTTTATGTGATTTTAACTGTACCGTATTTATCACTGTAAGCCGCCCTGAGCCTGCTGTAAAGTGGGGAGGGCGGGGTATCAATCAGATAAATAAATAATAAATAAATATGGAGCATCAGCCTGATCCAGCAAAGCTATTAAGAACATAAGAGAAGCCAGTGTTGGATCAGGCCAATGGCCCATCCAGTCCAACACTCTGTCACACAGTGGCCAAAAATACCAGGTGCCATCAGGAGGTCCAGCAGTGGGGCCAGGGCACTAGAAGCACGGGGCACTGTTGTTCCCCCAAGCACCAAGAATACTGAGCATCACTTGCCCCAGACCAAGAGTTCCTATCTATACCTTGTGGCTAATAGCCCCTGATGGACCTCTGCTCCATATGTTTATCCAGTTCCCTCTTGAAGCCATCCATGCTTGTAGCCGCCACCACCTCTTGTGGCAGTGAATTCCATGTGTTAATCACTCTTTGGATGAAGAAGGACTTCCTTTTATCTGTTCTAACCCGACTGCTCAGCAATTTCATGGAGTGCCCACGAGTTCTTGTATTGTGAGAAAGGGAGAAAAGTACTTCTTTCTCTACCTACTCTATCCCATGCATAATCTTATAGACTTCGATCATGTCACCCCCTCAGCCATCGTTTCTCCAAGCTAAAGAGCCCCAAGCGCTTTAACCTTCTTTCATAGGGAAAGTATTCCAACCCTTTTATCATTCTAGTTGCCCTTTTCTGCACTTTTTCCAGTGCTATGATGTCCTTTTTGAGGTGTGGTGACCAGTACTCCAAATGAGGTTGCACCATCGATTTATACAGGGGCATTATGGTACTGGCTGAATATTATTAGGCTACGTTTCCATAAAATTAGGCTACGTTTCCATAAAAGCCCAGGGTGCCCAGAACATAGGTCAAAAACCACTGACTTTATACGGTGTGCATCAGGGGAATGAGAAGCTAACCGGCTGGTTTCCAACCTGCCCTATTTGGGCAAGATAATAGAGGGCTGTGGCAATGCAGCTACAGGGCTTTTTGGATGACGCTTCCATTCTAGATCCCTTCCAGTCTGGCTTTCGCCTGGGTCACAGGACGGAGATGGCACTGGTCGCCCTCACAGACGATCTCCGGAGGCATCTGGATCGGGGCGGATCGACAGTGTTGCTGTTCGTGGACCTGTCGGCTGCGTTTGACATGGTCAACCATCAGCTACTGATCCACCGCCTCGCCGACACTGGAATCCAGGGGCCTGCAATGGCTTGCTTCCTTTCTCCAAGGTCGGGGACAAAGGGTGGCGCTAGGGGAAGAGCTCTCCCAAAGGCACCCACTGGATTGTGGAGTGCCTCAAGGGGCGGTGCTGTCCTTGATATTATTTAACATCTATATGCGCCCCCTTGCACAGATTGCACAGAGACATGGGCTGGGATGTCACCAGTAAGCAGATGACACCCAGCTCTATCTGTTGTTGGGCAGTCAGTCTGGCTCCAGACTGGAAGATCTAGACCGGGAGTTACAAGATGTGGCTGGATGGCTTCGGCTGAGCCGACTGAAACTGAATCCAATGAAGACGGAGGTCCTGTGCCTGAGTCGGGGTGGACCAGGGGTAGGGATCTCGCTCCCGACCTTCGATGGGGCTCTGTTGGTGCCAGCGCCGGAGGTTAGGAGTTTGGGAGTACTCCTAGATCTCTCCTTAACAATGGAGGCCCAAGTAGCAGCCACTGCCAAGTCGGCCTTTTACCATCTTTGGCTGATAAGGCAGCTGGTTCCCTTCCTTGAACGCAACAACTTGGCAACAGTGATCCATGCAATGGTCACTTCGAGACTGAACTACTGTAATGCTCTCTACACGGGGCTGCCCTTGTTGCAAATCCGGAAGCTACAGCTGGTGCAAAATGCTGCAGCCAAGCTTCTAATGCGCCTCCCAATGCGGGAGCACATTCAGCCTGTGCTGAAGGCACTGCACTGGCTACCGATAGCATAACAAATTTGCCTCAAGGTGCTGGTTCTTACCTTTAAAGCCCTTTATGGTCAGGGACCTATATACCTGAGGGACCGCCTTTCCCCATATATACCCGAGAGAGCACTGCGATCAGGGTCCCAACATCGACTGACCCTTCCCAGACCAAAGGATGCCAGCCTGGTTATTACCAGGGCCTGGGCTTTCTCAGTGGCGGTTCCTCTCTGGTGGAATGAGCTCCCGGAGGAGATCGGGGCCCTGCGGGACCTTATGCAGTTCTGCAGGGCCTGCAAGATGGAGCTCTTCCGACAGGCTTTCAATTAGGAGCCGCCCTGAGGGAGAATCATGCTGCCTGAACAGCCTGTGCCAGCCGCACAATGTTAGAAGAAGAAGAGGAGATTGGATTTATACCCCGACCTTCACTACCCAAAGGAGTCTCAGAGCGGCTCACAAACTCCTTTCCGTTCCCCTCCCCACAACAGACACCCTGTGAGGCAGGTAGGGCTGAGAGAGCTGTGACAGAAACTGCTCTTTTTCAAGAATAGCTCTGACAGAACTATGGCTTGCCCAAGGTAATCTAGCAGGTGCAAGTGGAGGAGTGGGGAATCAAACCCCATTCTCCCAGATTAGAGTCCATGCACTTAACCACGACACCAAACTGGGTTAATCAATAGGATGGCATAATGAAGGCCAACCGCCATCTTAAATGTAACTTAAATTGTCAATCTGTTAGCACCTTTTTAGTGTTAAAATTGTTTTATGGTTTTAGGACTATTTAAATTACTTATTGATGTTTTTACTTTCTCTGTAAGCCGCCCTGAGCCGGCCGTGGCTGGGTAGGGCGGGGTATAAATTTAATAATAAAAATAAAATAAATAAATCTCTATTTAACTTTTTTAAAAAAATGCGGGATCACTCTGTGGTCTCTTTGGCCCCCAGATTGTTCTTTTAACAGAATCAGTAGCTTCAACCTTACCTACGAGGAAAGACTAAAGAGTGTGGGATTTCTCAGTTGAGAAAAGAGCTGGCTAACGGGGGCACACAACGGAGGTTAATAAAATTATGTCTGGGGTGAAGAGTGTTGACCACGTGAACTTTTTTTCTCCCTCTCCCAAAATCCTAGGGTGTCCAATGAAGCGGACGAGCAGTAGATTCAGGATGGACAAAAGAACGTATTTATTGACACAGAGAGTGATTAAAATGTGGGATTCACTGCCAGAGGATGTTGTGATGATGACCCTGCGGCAGGCAGAGACAGCGTTAAAAGGGGATTAGATCAACTCATGGAGGAGTTAGCTATTAGCCACAGTGACTAAAGGGAGCCTCCACATTCAGAGGCAGTCAACCCCTGAATCCCGGGGCCAGGAGGCAATAGCAGGGGAAGGTCTCAGCCTCTCTGCCCTGTTGTTGGCCCTCCAGAGGAACTGGTTGGCCCCTGTGTGAGATGAGATGCTGGACTAGATGGACCCTCACTGGTCTGATCCAGCGGGGCTCTTCTGAGGTTCTCATCAGGGGAAGGCCTTGGCCTCTATGTCCTGTTGTTGGCCCTCCAGAGGAACTGGTTGGCCCCTGTGTGAGACGAGATGCTGGACTAGATGGACCCTCACTGGTCTGATCCAGCGGGGCTCTTCTGAGGTTCTCATCAGGGGAAGGCCTTGGCCTCTATGCCCTGTTGTTGGCCCTCCAGAGGAACTGGTTGGCCCCTGTGTGAGACGAGATGCTGGACTAGATGGACCCTCACTGGTCTGATCCAGCGGGGCTCTTCTGAGGTTCTCATCAAGGGAAGGCCTTGGCCCCTATGCCCTGTTGTTGGCCCTCCAGAGGAACTGGTTGGCCCCTGTGTGAGACGAGATGCTGGACTAGATGGACCCTCACTGGTCTGATCCAGCGGGGCTCTTCTGAGGTTCTCATCAAGGGAAGGCCTTGGCCCCTATGCCCTGTTGTTGGCCCTCCAGAGGAACTGGTTGTCCCCTGTGTGAGACAGGATGCTGGACTAGATGGATCCTCACTGGTCTGACCCAGCAGGGCTCTTCCTATGTTCTTACTCCCAGGTAAAACTACTGCGTAAAGGGGACACAACTGCCATCAAACAACTGCATTAAAAGCTCCCCCTGGAAACCTCACCTCAGGGAGTCGGAGGACTTTGCAATATTTAACACCATTCCGCAATCTAGAGAGGGAGAGAGAGAGAGAGAGAAAAATGACTCGTTACTCAGGGAAATTATTAAAAGTACAAATCGCAACAGCAGGGGGCCCAATTTGGTTGCCTCCCCCTTCCCAATGGCTGAAAATTCTCTTCCCATTTTAATAGGTTATAAATTCAATATGGGAGGGATTAAGTATTAGGAATGTATGTAATGAAACTGATAAGATTCTGAATAATGGAAGACATTTTTCTTTAAAAATCAATTATTAAAAGCAATTCTTGTTCATAAAAAGGATTTAACCACAATGTCGAACTTAAAAATATATATATATATATATAAATAACCATTTATGGAACAGCGGAGCTCTGTATACTGTTGATCTGGGATATTGTTCTGTTGCAACTTCAGCTCCCCATTGATTGTGAAATGTTTTAAAATGAAGGACAAGAAATGTATTTGGGCTGGGGAGGAGGGACAAACCATCTCTCCCATCGTAAAATGGCCTGGGCCTCATCAAGGGGACTCCACTGGTATGGATTTGTAAATTGATAAAAAAACAAACCAACCCACCCCCGGTGAGGAGCGCACACACGCCAAGCGGAGCACGGAGAGCAGCAAAGAGTCAGGTGGCGGAGGGGGTGGTCAGTCTCCTCAAGTTCCGGGGAGATTTTGAGGGGAGGGGTGAGGTTTCCAAGCTGTCTATGCCCCCCTGTTCCCCTTGATCTGCCACCAGCTCCAAGCATTCTCTTCCCAGTCCCAAGTCATGTATAAAGAGCGTGTCAAAAAAACCATAATCAGAATCCACTGCATCATGGTTGCTGGCAGTGTTCCTCTAAGCTGAGTTAGTGTGAGCTAGCTCACAGTTTTTGAGCCTCTGGCTCACACATTTTTGTCTTCGCTCAGGAAGGAGGGCTCCAGAGCAAACTAATTTATGCAGTAGCCAAATCGTGGACTCTGCATCATGGTTACTGACACTGTTCCCTCTAAGCTGAGTTAGTGTGAGCTAGCTCACAGTTTTTGAGCCTCTGGCTCACACATTTTTGTCTTCGCTCAGGAAGGAGGGCTCCAGAGCAAACTAATTTATGCAGCAGACAAATTGCTCGCTCACAACTTTAAGGCCAGTAGCTCACGAAGTAGAATTTTTGCTCACAAGACTCCACCGCTTAGAGGGAGCCCTGGTTACGGGCCTCCCTCCCCACTGGGACCCAGCATTGAATGACTCATCATTATGGCCTCCCCGTCAACCAACTCTGAGAGGAAACGGAAAGAAAGCAGCCCTCAAAGAGCACCATGGGATGAGACGCTGGCAGGAAGGGAGGGTGCGGAAGAGGAGGCCGGAGACTTACTTTTTACACCGTTCACAACTGTACATGTTGTCACCTGCAGGGAGAGGAAAGGAAGAGCTCAGCACGAGCGCCAGAAGGGGGTCACCCCCGGTCGCATCTGTTTTGCTTTTCAGCGTCTGGGCGTGGGCACAGAGACTGAGTGGCAGAGCCCCCCTGACGCTGGATCCACGCGTCAGCTCCTTCTCATGGCGCCATCTTGGACATGTGGCAGATGCGTCTCTGCCCATCTCCTCTGGAGAGGAAAGGAGGAGACGGCCTCCCTTGTTAGCACTGAGGAAAGCCTACACAAGGCAGCTCTGTTTCAAAGGACTCTCCTGGGGAGGAGCTCAGAGCCAGCGCCAGCTGCTTCCACGCAGCAAGGAGGCTCATGTTCCTTTCCTCAGTACTGCAACTGCTGCAGCACCCATGCTTGGCAAGAGAGCTTCCACATGCAAGTGCTCCGGGCACTTTCCTCCGCTGTCTATGCCCCCCTGTGCCTTCCATCTTCCCTGCCACAGCACCAGAAGGCCTTCTGAAAATTCAGTAATCCCTACAGCATTATTGTTACCTATTTTGTTTTTTAAAAAAGGATTTCAAAGAGCCCTCTGGCAGCACCAGCAGGGAAAACGGCAGCAGTGAAGGGGCTGACACCAGGAAAACAGTGCCCAGGTGAAGAGGATCTTTGAAACTGCACGCCTTCCTGTCCTGGTGGTGGAATAATGCACTGGGGTTGCACTCACCCCCAAAAAAGAGCAGACCAAAGATGGCTTGGGGGACAGTGTACTGAGGCTAGTGAAAAGATGATTAGGGCTGTGGCTCAGTGGAAGAGCCTCTGCTTGGCATCCAGAAGGTCCCAGGTTCAATCCCTGTTATCTCCAGTTAAAAGATCTAGCAGGAGATGATACGAAAGACCTTTGCCCGAGACCCTGGAGAGCTGCTGCCAGTCTGAGTAGACAATACTGACCTTGATGGACCAGTGGTCTGATTCAGTAGAAGGCAGTTTCAAGCTCTCCACATCAGAAGCCAAACTGGAAGGTGGGGGGGGGGGGACATGTGCTAGCCAGGGCTTTCATGCTGTGGACATTTTTGCTAATGTCTCTGATTTGTATATTTTTCTCAATTATCCCTTGACTTTTCAGTTTTCATGAGCCTTTGGCTGTACCCTAAAACAGGACAGCGCAGATACAAGTTCACCTCTTCAACGAGAACTAAGCCCCTTTTTAGCACTGCACTGTTCCTTGGGAAGAATGACTCAATCGGGTAAACCAAGATGGGTTGCAGTGTTAGTCTGTTTGTAGCAGTAGCAAAGAGCAAGAGTCCAGCAGCTCCTTAAAGACTAACAAAATTTGTGGCCGGGGAGGAGCTTTTGCGAGTATCTGAAATGACTCACGAAAGCTCCTCCCCCGCCACAAATTTTGTTAGTCTTTAAGGTGCTCCTGGACTCTCACTCTTTTCTACTCAACAGGACAAACATTGCTGCCAGCAATTAACACGGAGGTTTTCCCAGGTATCCCTCTCCCAGCCCCCCCCCCCACCATTGCAAAGTGTACCTTTCAATTCGTCAGCAGCAAAGAAGGCAGCCAGACAGTCCTCCAGGGTGACCACAGGACCCCAAAACCAGCTGGGGATGCAGGACACCACAAACCTGTTAAGAAAAAGAGGAAAGAAGGAGATCTGTTACTTGGGGCTGACTCACTTTAGACTTTCAGCATCCCCGTCCAGGAAGGCTTCATTCCTACAGATGTCTTCAGGATGGAAGTTGACCTGATGACCTCAGAATCTGGGCTTCTTGCATACAATCAGCAGGTCACAGACGGCCAAGGACTCATCCAGACCACACCCTTTTCATACTCCCCACCAATGTTCCCTCTAAGCTGAGTTAGTGTGAGCTAGCTCACAGTTTTTGAGGCTCTGGCTCACACATTTTTGTCTTTGCTCAGGAAGGAGGGCTCCAGAGCAAACTAGTTTATCCAGCAGCCAAATCGCTCGCTCACAACTTTAATGCCAGGAGCTGACAAAGTAGAATTCTTGCTCACAAGACTCCACAGATTAGAGGGAGTATTCCTGCCCACAGGTCTGCAGGAGAAGGCAGCTGGCATTTCACTGCTCACGCAAACTTACTACTGGGCACACTTGCCACCTGGCCTGTTCCAACCAACATGGGCAGTATAGATTAACTTCTTCTACTCTGGGAAAGACCATTGGCCCATGGTTTCGCCGAGGAATGCACGTGGCTGCGATTCAAGTCTCAGATGCAGCCCCATAATTACTCATGAGCGCCTCCCTCTCTGAATTAGGGGGGAAGGGCCATGGCTCGGTGGCGCAGAATCTAGCCCCGGGTCCCCAATGTGGTGCTGGTGGGTGCCATGGCACCTGCAACACCTTTCCTTGTGCCCACCAAGTGTTTTTAGAAAGTGGGTGAGGCCTGGTGTGGCTTTTGCCAAGCAAGGCTCCTGATTGGCCACTGGAGATTTGACTGGCTGTGCAGATTTTCGTAAAATGCTGCTTTGGTTAGCAGCAGCTGCCACCACAGCACAAGATTCTACGCTGTGTTACCGATGTTAAGCTGCGACAGTCATTTTGTGGCTTGCTCTGCCATTTTGTGGCAGCCATTTTGTTGCTGCGACCACCGTGCCGTGTCAGAATTCCAGATGTGCCTGCAGGCTCAAAAAGGTTGGGGATCTCCCCCGATCTGTTCCCATAATACCACCCATGACCAATGTTCCCTCTAATCCGCGCAGTCTTGTGAGCAAAAATTCTACTTTGTGAGCTACTGGCATTAAAGTTGTGAGCGAGCGATTGGGCTACTGCATAAATCAGTTTGCTCTGGAGCCATCCTTCCTGAGCCAAGACAAAAATGTGTGAGCTGGAGGCTAAAAAACTGTGAGCTAGCTCACACTAACTCAGCTTAGAGGGAACACTGCCCATGACCACCTCTCGGAGGACCCTGTACCTTCGGATATACTCCATGATGAACGCAATCCACCCCTGCGAGGCATAGTTGTCCCCACAGGCTCCCGTCTTGGCCGGCACGTTCTGGTAGATAGCGGAGTGCAGCTTGGCCAAGTCCTCCTTCCCGGGGATGGGCAGCGACAAGTCCTGGAACGTCTCTACAGTGGTGGAGACCTGCAAGTCACCGCACGAGAAGAGAGCTTCAGGGCTTGCTCTTTTCCAGGGAGGTTTCCCAAACACAGGAAGGGCTCCCGCAGCTGCAGATGTGAGCAAAACAGGTCGTGCAGCCGAGCTGTGGCATTTTGTCTTGGGGGCGGAGAGCCTCTTCCTCCACTTGTGCTGCCAGCACCGGAAGTGCCGCATGGCTCCTCTCTGAGTCACAGGGATGCTGTGAAAAGCCCCAGGCCGCATGGAAGAAGTCCACAGCACAGCTCCTCCCAGCATGTGCATCTCTTCTGGGGACCTGAGCGATGTTACCACGGAGAGGGGCTAATGCATGAGCTCTACTCAGGACTTCCCTCATGACCTGAAACAGCACAGCAGTTCCCTGCATGGCCTTGGAAAAGGCCAGTTCTTATGCTGCCTCAAAAGTGTGCTTGCTGCTTCTTTAAGTCCTAATGCTTCACAGAGCAGCCCTGTAAGGTGGGCCACAATTGTCTTGCAGATCCCTCAGATGGAGAGGATGCTGCATGCGGAAGACCTCTGACTGAGCCTGTAGCCGAGGGAAGGTTCGACCCAGCAACCTCCCAGATCGGCCGTTCGCCCCCACACTGTACAGCGGTTTCGTGGTCACTTCCCGTGCAACCGGCAGAGAAAAAGGGGGAGAAGGGAGGCAAACGCCCTGGATCCCCAGCTCCCCCATGCAAGCTCCCCGACCCCGGCACTGCAAGAGAAGCGCAGCAGCAATGCTCACCTCCAAAACAGCACAAGAACTGGGCCCAGCTGGCTTACGAGAGCACCAGCAAAGGTGTTTTGTTTTCAACACCAAAATTTTACAAAGCTACATATTACTAAATTCTGCATTCAGGCAAATGGAAGCTTTGCACCCACAAATGCAGAATTGTGCAACTGGTATAAATTGCAGCTTTGCCAAGCTTCATGTTATTTTGCATCATTTCTTCTGAACCAACAGAACACGGGAAGAGGCACTGAAGCAGCTCTGGAAGCCTCATTCAGTGTCCCCCCCCCCCGCCCCACTTCCTTCGATTTCAGCCACTGACATGCTTCACAGTGGCAAGGGCTAGAGATGTGTCGCTTTTAAAGACGGCGTTCTCAGAACACCAAGCACCACCTGCACAGTCTGCGTGTCCCCCGATGCTGCTGCGGAGGCAAAGCATCCCCTCTGGCCTTGGCCTGTGTCACAAGACTCCACGGCAAAAGGAGACGTGCATCTTTCTCGCAGCTATTAAGGGCTTGTTGGCTGACAATGAGAGCCGTTCCTTCAATTTATTTTCCTTACTAATAGCAACAAAAACTTGGTCTACACAAGCCATTCTGCCCTGAGCTGGCCACTCCCCCTGTGCTGGACATTCGGCCTAGTCCTGCTTGTCTCTCTGGAGCGACTCAGAGGAGGAACCTGACCCGGAGCCCCTTCTCCACCAGCAGGGAACCCACACCCGGCAGAGATGGTGGTGGTCACCCGGTTTTAATTCAGATCGTCTACCACGCCAACTTTTGGCTCCGTTCAGTCTCCAACCTGCTGAATTTTTTGCCAGGCTGGTTCGGCTTGGGAGGCCTTTCCCCAACTGGTGGCAGAATGTGCCGTCAAAGGCTGCCAATTTATGGCAACTCTGAGACATTCACAGAGGCAAGAGACATTCACGGGTGGCTCCCCATTGCCTGGCTCTGCATAGAGACCCTGGACTTCCTCGACCGTCTCCCACCCAAGTACTGACCGGGGCTGAGCCTGGTTAGCTTCTGAGATCTGACGAGATTGGGCTAGCCTGGGCCATCCTGGTCAGCCCATTTCCCCAACTCAGAGCCAATGAAAAAGAATGTAGGGAGCCCAAAAACTCTAGTCCATAACAGACAACCATCTGCAAGGGTGGAGTAATTGCCTCTGCTTCTTAGCATCAGGTGTGGTTCAGATTATTCAATACACCAGGTGCAGTGAATGCATTGCCCACTTTTAGGGAATCCTGGTCTGCGTTACTGATCTGGGCTCACCTCCTTCCATCCGGGCAACGTTCCCCCAAAGCCACCGAACAGGAGGCTAAGAAGCAGGGGCGCGATTGTGGCAGTGATGCAGGACTGAGACACAGCAGTCAGGAACCGCTGCAGATGGCAGGATCAGCCACCGTACGGCTGCCAAGACGTGGGCTGGACCTGAGGGGAAGGAGGTCCAATGTACCCTTGGGGGTTCCTGCACCCTCTCCTTCCTCTCCCCTCTCACCCCTTCCTCGGGTGAGCACTTCCTCCTCAGCTGCTGTCCAACCTGCTTTCCGATCCAGGCAGAGATCCACCCACAAACCAGATCTCCCCGACCTCTCATTGGATTCCTCCTCACCAGGAATTCAGGAAACATTTTGGATGCTTTAGCAACCTCGTCAGATGGAAAAGATCTTCCGGCATGTTGCTAAAGGGTCTCAGCAGACAGGTTAGCATCCTCAACCTAACATCAAGCCCCGCCCCGCCCCCGATGGACCTATCTGCCATGGCAATGCAGCAGAAGGTAAGGAAGATGCCTTGCTATCGGACAGAGCTGCCACAGGAACCCACGTGGCACATGTGTGCAACTTGCTGCCCGGTACCAAAAGACGGATGAGAAACAGACAGGGAGCACGTACTCTTGCTCTTGTCCTGAACAGTGAGAGAGAAGAGCCAAACAGAGGCCGTATGATGACCCAGTGGTGCATCGAATGAACGGCAAGTTATTTCCCATACTGTGCTGCTCAGGAGCTAACCAAGGTGGGGGAGGAGGACTGTACTTTACGCAGAGTGCTAATACACCCTGAAACATCCCTGTAATCAGGTGAAGGCAAGCCCGTAACAGTGACTCATACAGAAACATGGGGGGAAGCACTTCTGAGGGCAGGTAGAAACCTCTCCAAGTACATGGGCAAAAGTTGGGGAGGAAGAACAGCCCAGTGGTAGAGAACTTGGCTTTCCATGCAGAAGAGCTTGAAGTTCAAAGGGTCTGGAGCCCTGCTGGAAGAATTCTGGCAAATACCAAGTTTTGGGAACGCAGAAAAGGCTGTCCTGCAAGCACGAGAGCTGCTTCTCCAAGGAGGTCTCCAAAACACACCCCTGTGCATCTTCACAGGGCCCAAGCACACCTCAGCCCTCCACACCCCAGACAGTGTAAACAAAGACCCCCCTTCCCGCAGGGGGGGACCCCAAAAGAGCCAGTCCCCTGCCATTTTTACTTGATCAGCAGCAGTAAGGAGACGCACTCTGTCACAGGTGAGGCACTGCACAAGGCTCAGGATGGAGCCGTCGAAGATGTCAGAGATGACGCTGCGGTACCGGACCTCCTTCTTCTTTTTGCCAGAGGCCTGCATCTGGGCTGTGGAAGGAGGGGAGGGGGGTTAACTTGCTGTCTCTTGGAAAGTTTCCAGGGGAGCTGGGCGCCTGTGGTGGCAACTGGACATTCCAGAAACACGAGCACCCCCAAGACATATTTTACATACACAAACTTTTGACGGTTTTAAAATATCCCTCCTGTGCCCCCCCCCCCTTCACCCCCTTGCTGGAATTCTATGGGAAGGTGAAATCTAGCTAGGTGCAGAAGTCAGACCAGGACTGGAGAGGCTCGGGTCCAGATCCCCATATTGCAGATGGAAAGCTGAAGTCCAGAAAGGAAGTGGTTTTACTCAGAAGTCAGTCCCATGTTATTCAATAGGGCTGCCTCCCGAGGACCTGCACGCAGGTCTGCAGCTATAGTCAGTTCAGAAACGAGATTCAATCAGGGACTTCCTGGGAAAAAGCCCGAGTGTTCAGCTACCATGCGACACAAACAGTTTGCTGGCCTTTAGGGTCTCCCAAAGAACATGCCCGGGGGTGGGGGGTGGGCAGTAGGTTTCTAGTCCTCAATAGAGAAGAAGAAGAAGAGATTGGATTTATACCCCGCTCTTCACTACCCGAAGGTGTCTCAGAGCGGCTTACAGATTCCTTTCCCTTCCCCTCCCCACAACAGACACCCTGTGAGGTAGGTGGGGCTGAGAGAGCTCTGGCAGAAACTGCTCTTTTTCAAGGACAGCTCTTATCAGAGCTACGGCTTGCCCAAGGACATCCAGCAGCTGCGAGTAGAGGAGTGGGGAATCAAACCCAGTTCTCCCAGATTAGAGTCCGCACACGTAACCACGACACCAAACTGGCTCTCAATAATAAAGCAAAGCCTAGAATCATCTTCACAGCTTTTGCTAAAGGTTATTACACCTGTGCGCTCTTTGGGAAAGAGGGGTCCCTTTCCTTTGCAACTCGCATTCCTCTCAAACCCGCCCCCCCCACTCCCCATGAGTCACAGCACAGGAGGCCGTAATGCCACAGAGCCCTCCTGGAGGTTGGCAACCCCAGCAGCACCCCCATGCTGAGCCTGTTCCTCCCCCACCCCCCCATCAGGGGTCAGGAACACGGGCGGGGCACTTTCCCAGGGCTCTTTTGGCCTCTTCCTCTGCCACTGTTGCGAGGAGGCAGGGCACTGTGGCTAACCACAGACAAGGCTCCAGTGAGGGCAGCGTCCCTGCAGCCGAGGCCGGGAGAGTCATTCCTTTGGGGCGCCCAAAATCCCTCGGCCAGCCCCGACCCTCCTGCCCCATTTCCTGACTGGAGAGCCCCAACGCCGTACACGTAGAACTTTTTTTTTTTACGCTCCTCAGGGATACTTCGGCACACTAAAAGTTGAAACACCACCCCCACCCCCCGCAAAAACAATGCCTTTCACACCGCACATCTGCCCAGCAGGGAGACAGATGGAAACCATCCGTGAGTTGAAGCATCTTCCTGCAGACCTCCGAATGCCCCCGACTTCCCAGCCTTACCTTTTTTCAGCACGTAGGAGGGCCCCAGCCTCACTGGGCTCGAACGCGGAGGGCTGCTCGACAGCTTGGAGTGCATGTCCTGGTGAATGGGGCTGCAGGGTCGAGAGGAGCAGCGGGTGTAGGCGTCATTGTCCGGCTCTGCGTGGAGGGGAAAAAGGAGACTACAACCACCATCTGATCTGCCATCTCTGTCTCCCTAGACACCAACAACTCGATCAGCCATTCAACTCCTTGGCTTGAAGCCTGACCATACTGATGCACAAAAAAGCTCCCATTCATTTCATTGGGATTTGCCCAGGATGACAGAAAAAGGTTTTAGTCGAGGAGGGGAGGGAGACAGGTACAGGAGGTTTCAAAAATAAATATGAACTCTGTGGAAGAAAATGTCTTCTGCTGTCTCCCACCAATCTGGGTCACCCCATGAATATGACTGGCAACAGATCCAGGACAATTTAAAGAAAATCTTCTTCATGCGACACCAAATTAACTCACAGGACTCCTTGGGGGTGGCGGGCCCCTGTCTTGGATGGCTTTACAAGGGCAACAAACAAATGCATGAAAGAGGGCCCCGTCAATGGCTACTGACCATGATAGCTAAATATAGCTCCTGTGCTCAGGGGCAGGGTGCTGCTGCAAGCTGCCTGCCAGGCAACAACAGAAAGCAAAGGCATCCGTGATAGGCCCAGCTTGGAGGCTTCCTAGAACAATCTAGCTGGCCCTTGCTGGAAACTGGATGCTCATCGAGATGGACTTTTGGCCTAATCGGGCAGGGCTCCTCTCACGATCGAGGTGGGAGGGCACCTCAGTATTTTATACCAGCCCGGTCTGAGCTCCCATTCATTTCAGTCAGGCGTGAAATGGAGAGAGATGCCTGCTAGGGCTGAGAAAGAGAAGAGTGGAGCCTTCTTAGCAGATGCACAGTAAAGAGCCAAACTAGTTTAACCATCTTTCCCCAGGGGACACTGGGAACTGTAGTTCTGTGAGGGGAAGCAAGGGAATCAGTAGTACAGCTTTCTCCACATCACCTTTGCAGGACTGTGGGAGTTCAGGGGGGAAGGCACAGAAGCTAACTTGGCCTAAAACTGATGGGAGCTGGTAGCGCCCCTCCCCCCCTGCAGAGAGATCGGGCCTCGTCTTCCTCTCCAACTGTACCTGGGGCCCGAGAAGGGCTGGCAGGACGAGGAGGGGGAGGGGCGAGGGTTTCCGGGGAAGCCCTGCCGTCCACGGGCATCATGGAGGTATCTACGTCAGCATCCTCGTCCACCTGCTCAGAGTTGCTCCGCCGGTGGCTACACGTAAACTTGCGGTCCTTCAGCCTCTCTTTTTCAGAGATCCCCCTTCCAGCCTCATCCTGGATCAACAGCTCTGCCTCCACCAGTGAGCCTCCGGTTTTGCTCTGCCCGTCTCCTTCGCCTCGGTCGCTGCTCGAGTCGCAGGAGAGGAACTCGTCCTCTGAGGGACTGCGGTCGCCCTCCCGCTTGTCGTCTGTGTCGCTCGAGTCGGAGTCCCGTGTCTCAGCGACGATCAGTTCCTTCAGCTCTTCGTGAAGCTGGTCCATCAAGCAGCGTAGGAACTCTTGTGTGTCCTGGGGAAAACAGAGAGGGGGAGACCAACGTCACTCGGTGTCCAGGAGGAAAAGGCATGCTGATCTGCAAGGCTGGCCTTCGCACCAACAATGATGTCAGTTAGAATCTGCTACCACAAAGATGGCAATAATTTACTTGATGGACCGGACCAGACCAGACCAAGGCCCCCTGAGTCCGGAGTTCATAGCCAGCGTTCTGAATGATCCAGAAGACAGTCTTGAGAAGACAGGAAATCAGCCATGTGTTAATAATTTCTTTTTTTTGGTAAACAAATTTTTATTTTCTTAGGAACATAACATATAAGATTAAATCATTCAGTCCATTGTTTACCTCATTCCCTTCCTCCCCTCCCTCCAGTGGCTTCCCGCAATGCTTCTCCCCCTTCTTACAAATTTCATTATATCATTAACACATCATTTGTTATCATCCAACCTCAAGATAACATCATTTGACTTAATATTGATCTAAACATATTAAGTTTTGTTTTACATCCCAGTTCTTTTCCAGATATATTTTAAAGTCATTCCATTCTTGAAAAAACACGTTGTCTTCTTGATTATTCAACTTCTTTGTAATTTTATCCATTTCTGCCATGAACAGAACTTTTTGTATCCAGTCTTCGATTTCTGGTACTTTCTCAGTCTTCCAAAATTGTGCATAAATCATCCTCGCTGTTGTAATAAGGTACCAGAATAAAGTCCTTTTAGTCGAGTTAACTTCTTCCATTTTTAGTCCCAAAAGCAGAATTTCAGGCGCTTTCTTGAAAGAGCACTTAAGTATTTTTTGCATTTCTTTGTGGACTTTTGTCCAAAAGAGTGTAGCTTTTTCACAAGTCCACCACATATGGTAAAATGAGCCCTCATGTTTTTTACATTTCCAACATTTATTTGACATATTCTGGTTCATATTTGCAATTTTCTTTGGGGTCATATACCACCTATACATCATTTTGTAACAATTCTCTCTAACATTGGTACAGGGTGATATCTTAATAGCATTTTTCCACAAATATTCCCAGGTTTCTATGTCAATTTCCTTGTTCATATTTATTGCCCATTTTAAGCCATGTGTTAATAATTTCTGACGCTAAGCCGTCGTCTCCAGCAGGTAGAATACGTCTAAGCGCCAGAAATGGAAGCAGAAATCAAAGAGGCCTTGTCAGTTAACTCCCTGGGAGGCCAGCAAGACCCCCCACAGTGGGTATCAAAAGAACTTCTTAGACAAGACATCTGATCCCTGCAAACAGCTCTATGAGATTATGTTGTTGAAGGTTTTCACGGACGGAGTTCATTAGCTGTTGTAGATTATCTGGGCTGTCTGGCCGTGGTCTTGGCATTGTAGTTCCTGACATTTCGCCAGCAGCTCTGACTGGCATCCTCAGAGGTACCAACACAGAAAGATGGAGTACTCTCTGTGTCGATGTGAGAAGAAAAATGGTAGGCAGGTAAATTATATCTACTCAGGAAGGATTCAGGATTCCAGGAGTAGTGTCCTGGAATCCTGAAAGGCTGGACAACACATCCAATTACCATGTCAGATTAGACAGGGAACCCATTGAAATTCATACACATAAATACAATTTCAACAGGAAAGAAGAGAGTTTAAAAATAAATAGGGCATGATTTCCTGTCCTGAAAAACACAAAATGCTCTACATCTCACAATAGCACTACAGATAAGATTAGAATTTTAACAGTCAATCCATATAACAAAAGAAGCTCCTCCATTAGCATGTCACAGCCTGGGAAACTCCTACAAGATAATGACTCAGCCCTACCCCACCTTCCTGAGTAGATATAAATTACCTGCCTACCATTTTTCTTCTCACCTTGACACAGAGAGTACTCCATCTTTCTGTGTTATAACTCTGAGGATGCCAGTCACCGCTGCTGGCGAAACGGCAAGTACTACAATGCCAAGACCACGGCCATACAGCCTGGACAATCTACAGCCTGGACAATCTACAACAACTAATAAAGCTCTGTGAGCAATGCTCCCTCTAAGCTGTGGAGTCTTGTGAGCAAAAATTCTACTTTGTGAGCTACTGGCATGAAAGTTGTGAGCAAGCCATTTGGCTCCTGCATAAATTAGTGTGCTCTGGAGCCATCCTTCCTGAGCTGAGACAAATATGTGTGAGCCGGAGGCTAAGAACCTGTTAGCTAGCTCACACTACCTCAGCTGAGAGGGAACACTGTCTGTGAGATGTGCTCACTCAGGTCCTGTCACACAGAAGTTCTTCCTACAGGTCCCTCTTCTCAGCTGGACATCTCTGTCAACTGAAGCTGGGCCGATCACACAGCGGAATGACACAGCAGAACAGACGCCCAATTCACACTGTGAGTAGGAGGCATTGCTTGTGAATGCTCTCTCACAAACACGTCAGAGGGGAAAATTGTAACTCAGACCTTTCCATGCCAAGCTCACTTTCTATTTGCAGAGAAGGGAACATTCAAAAAAGTGACACCTGTCTTAAGTAGCAGGATTCATTTCACCAACTCATTCTGCCAGGTGCAGGACAGGCCTTAGAGCTCCAGTATTTAGCCAGCCCCCACAAAGGTGGTTGTGCTTTAGATCAATCATCCACACCCTATGGCAGGGGTCCCCAACCTTTTGGAGCCTGTGGACAGGTTTGAACATTTTGAGAGGGGTGGTGAACGCCTCCAAAAAAATGGCTTCCACAAGGATTTCTGGTCTAAGCATTTCGTTGCTCGGATGTGTCCTGTCTCGCTCTGATGGAGACGCGCCGAGACCCGGCAGACGGGAGGGGTCCGAGTTCGTCCCGGACCTCCCTGGGGTCTTTGTAGGAGACCCCCAGCCTGGGGAGCTGAGGAGAGCCTCTTCCAAGGCGATAGCCAAGGAATTAAGGCTCACCTTCTTCCCCGAAAAGTACCGTCATTGCGGAGCCAGCATGGCGCCCAGAGACGACTGCCGGAGCCAGCGACCAAACTTCTAAAAATGCTTCCAAAAGATCTCCAAGGCTCCAAATCGTGAGTTAAGCAAAGCTCAGGTGAAAAAAGCGAACTGAATCTTGGTAGTAATTGGAAGCGCCTACGTTTGAAGCGTTGGGGAGAAGAATTCAAACACACACACCCTTTGTTTTTCTTTGAGCAAACTTTAAAAACAGTTTTAAATCGGAAATAAAAGACTTTGAGCTAAAATAAGCACATAAGCAGTTATAAACGAATGCAAAAACTGCTAAGGTATACAAAGCGGGACTAAATCGTATAACTTTTGCCTTGTTTTGGAAAACTTACTTCTTGTTGATATTGTGGCTGGGAGAGGACGGAGAGTGCCGGATAAAAATCTGGTGACCGGAAATAACATACCAACGACTCCTTCCCAGAATCAGGAAGTAACTACAGACTTCTCCGCACTGCTGGCAAATGCACTGCACCCTAATGGAGCAGATGACTAATCTCAACACTAAGCTTGATAATGTCCAAAAACAGCTGAATCAAATGGATCAAAGAACCTCAGCAACTGAGAAAACGTTGAAAAAGATGGAAAAACAGACTGAGAGTATTAATAAAAGAGTGGATGAAACAGAGAAGGAAAGATCCGCTGATAAAATGCAAATAACACAGCTTCAGCTGGATAGATCCATGTATGGTCTATGTTTTCATAGGATCCCCGAAGAGAAAATGAGGACTTAAAAGAACTTTTGACGGCTCCCTTGGCCCCATTAATGGATTACAAACAAGAAGATTTAATAAAAGAGATGGATGTGGCCTATAGGACTTATCTGGATTTTATAAGGAAAAATAAATTACCTGGGGAAATCTATCTGAAATTCACGAAAAGATCTACCAGAGAACTGGTGTTAAAGTCAACAATGGGAAAACCCTTAAAAATTAAGAATGAAGAAGTAAACATTTTGAAAGACGTCCCTTTCGAAGTTAGAAAACAGAGGAAACGCTACAGGATGCTCACTCTCACTCTGCAAAAAAAAGGGAATACCATGTAGATGGTTATTCCTGGAAGGGCTGAGCTTCAATTCCCAGGGGAAAAAATATAAAATTGATTCTGTTCCAAAAGTGGAAAAATTTATGGACCAAGTGTTTAACACAAAAAAGAACTTAAAACCGCATGGAGAGGAAGAAGAAGATGATGATGATGATGATGATGAATCTTACTCACAGGATTCAACAAGCCAAACTTCCACGTCATCAGAATCATCTGAATCAGAGAAAGGAGCGGCTGCTCCGAAACTCCAGAAAATGAAGAAACGCAGGAAGAAAAGACTCTAGAACTAAGGCAATAGTATTAAAGGTAGAAATTGCGTTAAGCTACTAAATATGTATTAATAATTGAATCAAATCTTAACGTGTTATATTAGGTTAAAAACAATATTTCTATAGCTTCTCAGATCGTGACATGTATTAGTCTTTACCCATTCCCCAAATCCAGTAGATGGAATAGATTAGAACTATAGTACTCCTTCCCTTATCCAGTAGATTTATGTATTAGATTTCCTACACCCATCACCCATAGTATTACTGTTAGGGTATTAGCATCCCTTCCCCCATCCCATAATTGTAGTGTGTAGAAAATGCAAAAAAATAAAAATTCCCCTGCGGGGCCCCCCAAAAAAAATGGCTTCCACAAGAGGTGGAGCCAAGCCAGAAATGGCTTCAACAGGAGGCGGAGCCAACTGGAATACCTCTCCTTCCCACCTCCTGGGAAGAAGGAGAGCCTGAAGGGGGAATGGAACCAAACACAGACTAAGGAAAGCCCAGATGCTTACCAGTGCTCCTGATCATCCTGTGGAAAACCCTTTCATTTGCATGAGAGCAGCCAATAACAAGCCCTGCCTTATAATGGCACTGCCCACTTTCTGAAAAGCTTGGTGTACACCAAGGGAAGTACTGGCGGGCACCATGGCACCCACAGGCACCATGCTAGGAAACCCCCTGCCCTATAGTTTCCCAACCATGACAAAGACATTTTGACAATCTTACATGGCACCAGTGTTCCCTCTAATCTGAGTTAGTGTGAGCTAGCTCATACTTTCTAGACTCCGGCACACAAATTTTTGTCTTAGCTCAGGAAGGAGGGCTCCAGAGCAAACTTTTATGTAGTAGCCCAATCGCTTACTCACAACTCTAATGCCAGTAGCTCACAAAGTAGAATTTTTACTCACAAGACTCCACAGCTTAGAGGGAGCATTGCATGGCACAGAACTAAAATACAGCATTTGGGAATTGCGGTGGTTGTTTCTGTCCCCAAAAGCAATAAAGGGGTGGAGGGGCTCTCAGGGCCATGCCTTGGGCACAGCCAGGGGTCATTTCCTGCAGGAGCGCCCTGGCAGTAAAGAGCCCAGGGGGTGGGCACATGCAACAAGCCCCACCTCCTGCTCCCAGCAGCCCTCTGTCAGAGCAAGAAGCAGCCAGCTAAGTTCCAGAGCTCCCCCCCGGCCCCCTGGTCCAAAACAATCCAGTGGCACCTTTAAGACCAAGTTTTATTCAGGTACAAGCTCTCCCTCCTCTGCAAGGGACAGATCTGCACGTTCCCCCCCCCCAAAAAAATAGCTAGCAATCCAAAACAGTCCAGTGGAGCCTGAGTGGTGGGTGTTGCCTTCTGACACACTTCCGGTGATGTCAGGGGGCATGGCATATGGAAATAAGTTATGCTAATGAGTTATGCTAATAAGCTCCTACACCTCTTTTTCTACGAAATTACCCCTGGGCACAGCACTGTCAAACCCAGACCCCGATCAGCAGCTTCAACTAGCACAAGGTGTAGCAAGCCACTTCCTCACAGATCAGCACCTCAGGACCCGAACTGGCCTCCTGGAACATTCAAAGGGAGCTGCTGCTATCCTGTAGCCTGGCATTTCCGACTGCCACAGCAATGGGGTCAGAAACTACCAGGCAACCATCATGCTCTTTACAGGTCAACTCACCTGTTGTGCGTAGCCGCGAAACATAGGATTGACCAGCTTGATACCATGAGACAGGCTGCTCGGGACCACGTAGCTCGGGCTAATGAAAGGAAACCAATGCAAAATGAAAGCCACTTTATGCATAAGCTCTGGACGCAGATCGCTGGCTACAAGTTTCTAGGATAGCTTCCTAACGTCACATAAAAGGAGGTGCTGCTTTCCCATAAAGGCTTGGAGGAGGATGCATTTCTTCCTACCACAGCAAGGGGACCAGAAACCTCTGGGCAAATCTTGTCTTCCTAAAATAATGTTAGCTACCTTGAGGACACCGTATTTTTTTTAAAAAAAATCTAAGATAGTTTGATTACTATCAAACGTAGAAGCGCTCCAGTCCTCTCACAGTCAACAAGCACGTCTCTTGTAGTTAATTCACACAGATACACTTGCTCCACCCTGTCTCACAATGGGCTATTTTTCCACATACAGGGTTCCCCCCCCCCAGCCAGCGGTGGAACAGTCCAGTAAAAGCTCTTTCTCTCTCAATTCTGCTCCATGCTAGGGCTAAACTGTGGGTAATTTCACGTTTCTGGAAGAAGGGGGACTATCAAGCTTGAGGAGTCTCTTTTCCAAAAGAACCTTCTTCACAAAAAAGCCATGTTTTGTTTTTACACAGAAACACACCCTGCTCTCTTGACCTTGCTTTCACTGCCAGGTTTCCTCACCACGAGGGTTGCCAGGTCCAGGTTGGGAAATACCTGGAGATTTTGGGGGTGGAGCTTGAGCAGGGCGGGGTTGCAGAGAGGAGGGACTTCAATGGGGTATAATGGCACACAGTCCACCTTCCAAAGCAGCCCTATTCTCCAGGGGAACTGATCTCTGTCGCCTGGAGGTCAACTGTAAGAGCGGGAGATCTCCAGCCGCCACCTGGAGGTCGGCAATGCTACTCACCGCTTCTTGTGCCACACTTCAGAAATCAGCTTTTGGTAACTTTTGCAGAGCGCCGGTTTCTTGTCTGTGCGCACGAGCCCACCACACTCTAGGAAGAACTGTGTGAGTGGGGGGCTAAGAAGAAAAGACAAGGAGGGTGTCAGCTGAGAATTTCATTGCCTTTTTTTTTAATATACGAAAGAAAACATGGAGGCCTTTTAGAAAGACTAAGTATGAGAAGTGATGGTGCAGCTAAGCACACCCACTCCGTCTTAAAACAGTAGTACTATTCCGGCCATTGTATTTTTATTATTTATTTGCATTTACATTATTTAAAGTTTGCCTTTCTCACAGGGACTCAAGACAGATTGCGTATAGCGAGTCAGTAGAATCGACAAATGGGAGAGTCAATAAACAAATGTATTAGGACCGTAGAAGTCTGGAACCACCAGGAAGGCTTGAAGCCGAGCAGAAGTATTCACATGACACATTAAGCAGCACAGAAATCACTTAGGAGCCTGCTTACAATTGGCTATGCACCGCAGTGCAGACCACGCTCCCCAACTACTTATCCAAACAAGTCTGGAAAACCATTTTATGCAGCGCAACCCTGTTCCCTGCACGGAAAAGCCCTCTTGAATCGTTCAGTTTTGCAGAGTTTGTGGAAGGCTAGGAGAGAGGGGGCTTTCCTGACCTCCACGGCTAGGCCGTTCCACAAGCTGCGAGCCACAACGGAGAAGGCCAGGGGTACAGGCAGTTGCAGATTTTTTGCCCATCTACCCAGCGTTTCTACCATTGACTGGTTCGGCGTTCTGGCTGAACCCGGGGAAGCAACCAGATTCTGGCCTGAAGGCTGCCGCTTGCTGAACCCCGATGCAAGAACTGGGGGCTGTCGTGGTTCCTAGAGAACCAGGCTCACCCGCTGGGGCTGCACAAAAGAGGAGCAGCACAAAGTTTAGCCAGAGAGTCAGGCCAGAAGCATCCTGTGCTATCTTAAAAAGAGGAGCCTTCCGTTACCACTTCCTGATAAGCCTCAGGAACTCTCTGTCCGCACACACCAAGTGACCCTGCAAGAAGAAGGAGAGGCCAGAGGCCCCTTTCCCCTTGAGTATGCTCGTTCTCCTCAGGCAGGAGGCTGGTGGCAGCTGAGCAGATGGAGAGAGCCAATGCCCCGCTTAGGACTGTGAGCTCACTCCTGGTTCCTTGAGCTACGTGCACCCACGGGAGGAGGGGATTTACTTCCTGGAGCATCTCTGTCGCCTACCAGTTAGAGAGGGCTTGAAGCGCAGCATTCATGTAACAGGAGTTCCCAAGGTTTTTCATCCCGGTAAGGCCTGGAGAAGGAAGCAAAAAACAAAGGGAGAAAATACTGAGCTCGACAGCTCATCCTCCTCTCCGTTTCAGCATGTCTGCCTTTTTCTTCCTTCAAGGGGAAAAGGACGATGTCTCTGCCAAATTTCAAATCCCACGTGGGCTCACCTCTTGGTTTGAGATCATCATCTTCCGATTCTGACTCCCCTTCATCGGCCACTGCGATTGGAACAGCTTTCAGAGGATGAACAAGTGGAGGAGAATCCTGGACATGAAGATGGGGGAGAAGGGGGGAAAGGGGCAAAAAAAATCAGTAGCAAGTCCTCTTTGCAACAAGGTTAAAACTATACAGAGAAAACAGAGCCAGACCTTCAGATAGCTGGCATACAGCCAGTGGATTTAACGAGCATGCCAGCGAATGCATGTACCTGGTCCGATAACTTTGATTGGGGGGCTGGAGTGTGGGCTGCCAGCCGCTGGTCCAAGAACACCTCCTTCTCACATGCATAGCACCACACCCGGAACGTCGTCAAGTTCACTGTCAGATTGTGTTTTTTGGCCTAGTGCATTAAAAAACAAAACAAAAACAAGGCAATGAGACAGCACTTCACATTTGTAAATACTGTAAATATTACAGAGACTACAGCCACATGAACTCAGATACACATATACATACATATATAAATAAACATATATATACATGTGCGTGTGTGGTGTACACACACACACACACTGAGATATGGACCTAGTTTGAATATGTGCCCTAACTGCTATATACTCCCCCATAGCACTTAGGGCACATATTCAAACTAGGTCTATATCTCAGTGATACTTTTATTATGTATTGACTCCGTTTATACCCAGTGTCCTCCCCAGTGGGGACCCAAAATGGCTTACGCCACCATCTCCTCTCCTCCATTGTATTCTCACTAAACCCCTATAAGGTGGAGTGTGTGACCGGCTCAAGGCTACTCAGCAAGTTTCCACGGCAGAGTGGGGATTTGAACCTGGGTGCCTCTCAGATCCTAGTCCGACACCCTAGTCGCTACACCGTGCTGCATTTCGCATGTTTTATATGCAGGAGGCCCCTGCTCCAATCTTTGGCGTACCAAGGATCTTGGGGGGGAGGCGGGGGGGGGGGAGAGGTCTTGGAGGGTTTCTGCCAGCTGGAGATGGAAGCGCTGAGCTACGTGGGCGGCTAAAAAGCAGCTGCGTGCCCAGATGATGGGATGACTTGCATTGCAATGGCAAGGCGCATGCTCTGCAGGCTGGAGAAGATCTCGTAGAGCAGAGGTCCAGGAGACTTCCTTGGCCTGAGACCCTGGAGACTGGCTGCCAGACAAACAGGCCACAGTGTTTTTTAGTGATCAAGCTCTGCATGTGGAACATATGCTGGGAATTCATGGGTGCTATTAAGTTTTTGGGTTTGCAGGTTTTGTCATCTTGCATGATTTGGAGTTTGTTTGCTGGCTGTTCTTTTACAGTGATGGTCTCCTAGGCTCAGCTTAGGCTCTGGAAGACCAACACTTGTGGGGAAACAGAAGCCACAGGATCACGACTAAACAAAGAGATCCCAGTAAAAATATCCCCCCCCATCAGTAGTCCAACAAACCAGATATCCCTCCAGACATTCTATAGCAAGGGTCCCCGACCTTTCTGAGCCTGCGGGGGGCACATTTGGGATTCTGACACAGCACGGTGGGCCCAGCAACAAAATGGCTGCCACAAAATGCCTGCTGCAGGAGGTGGGGCCAGCCACAAAAATGACTGCCACAGTTTAACTGCAGGGACACAGTGCAGATCCTTGTGCTGTGGTGGCAGCTGCTGCTGCTGAAGCAGTGTTTTAAAACATCTGTGCAGCCAATCAAATCTCCAGTGGCCAATCAGAAGCCCTGCTGGGCAAAAGCCCTGCATGGTCTGGCCCACTACCTAGAGACACCTGGCGGGCACCTGAAAAGGTCTCAGTGAGTGCCATGGTGCCCACGGGCATGACACTCAGGACCCCTATTCTACAGCATTCAGGCACCGACACCATTTCCAGTCTGACTCCCTGCTCACAAATCTAGAAAAGCTAGCCAAAATTAAATAAAATGGGATGTAGCCACGTGGCATCCTTTTGATTCTGCTAAAGATACCGCAACCCGTCTTAGAAACCATATCCTGTGTTCCATAGTGCAACAAAGCCAGCAAGATGTCAGATCTAGGGTCAGAGGAGGGAAGCCTCATCTTGGAAGTTCTCTGACTGGCACTGGGCAAATCGGCCGAACCTACATCTTGTGGTTTGTGCTGAAGCTAAAATGCTGCTTTGAGCTCCTCAGAGGAGCAGGGAACAAGAAATCATTGCAAACCCTTGGCGGGGCTCATCGGTTTTCAAGGAATCTTGGACAGGAGTGTTCAAAGTGCAGTTCAGGCACCAGGAAGCCATGGGAATATATGAAGTTGCCTTCACTGAGTCAGACCATCAGTTCGTCTAGCTCATTATTATCTCCTCTGACTTGCAGCAGCTCTTGAGGGTTTCAGGCACAGAAAGGTCTTCCCCCAACATCTGTGTCATGAGAGTCTTTAACCAGAGACGGAGCACTTGGGACCTTCTGCATGCCAGCAGGTGCTTGACCACTGCGCTCCCATCCCATCCTTCGCACACACCTACGCCTTGTGACAAAGAACTCTCACCTGTGCATGAAGGGTGCTGTGATCAGCAAAGGATTCCCCGCAACCAACGTAAGGACAACCAACCTAGAGACAGAGCAGAGACGCTGTATAGAAGCAGCAGGAGAAAACAACAAAGGGCAAAGAGAAGCTACATGTGACGGACATTCCCACAAGGTAGTGATGATTTCACACCGGAGAGGAAGAAAGTTTCGCCCAGTGCGGTTCCGCACTTTACTATGGGCCTGGTTTGAAAATGAGAAGAACTTAAGTACAGACATGCATCTTTTAAAGCAAAGGGTGTGTGTGTGTGTGTGTGGTGGGGGGTTGTTTTTACCTGAAGGCAGGCCCACAAGTTTGGTCCCCCAGCGCCGCAAGACTGGCACGTCCCCTGGGTTGGCAAGGGAAGAAAGGAACAAATCTCAAGCAACCTTTATCCTCAGTCAATCTGTCCTTTTTATGGCCCACAGGCCATTAAAAGCAGAAAAAACACTATTATAACACTATTATAAAACCTATGTAAAATCTCAGCATGCATCATTTATCCTGATATATCAAACAGTTCAAGGGTTAGAATCCAAGTAGATCATACACAGGACATTAACTCAGCCTACTCGTTCATTGTAGACAACAGAAACTTAGCCACAGATACAGTAGTTCTTTGGTCTTATCTGCTGAGAACAGTTTTTTTTAATCAACCAACACACCTTCCGGTAAATCTAAGTGCACCCGTGCATAAAATCTACAATGGAAAAACACATGAACCAATGTTTCAATCAGGTTAGCAGAGCAAGGACAAGATCCACAATTAGATGGAAAGTTTCTGTATCTCCCTGTCAAAAGTGCCGATGGTGGCACCTTCAATCTAGCCAGTGTAAACACATGCCTTGGCACAGTTAGTCCTGACAGGCAATCCTCAGAAAAAGATGATTATTCCTAAAGTCACTCAACTTTTCCTCTTAGGAATAAGCATCGGAGGTTTAATGGCACATATAACTGAGCGCCTGTCAGAAAAGCAGCATATAAGTGTTTTAAATATATAAATAAATAATGCCACCTGAGACTTATGCCGGCTTAACTGACTTTTCTTCTTCTTGTGCAAACCCGAGAGCTTTCAGTGTACAAAATGCTTCATGTTATCCTAGGAATCCCCACAATGGCCCTGAAAGGTAGGCCAGTAGTACCATCAAGATATTGCACATGGGAGAATCTTCTTCTACGTTTCTTGCCCTGGCTGCCAGCACTCCAGGGAAGCAGAGGCCAGAGCGCACATGGTCCAATGAACAGCAGGTGTGTGGTGGTGGCAGTGGAAAGTGCCGTCGAGTCGTAGCCGACTTATGGCAACCCCGGAGGGTTTTCAAGGCAAGAGACATTTAGAGGTGTTTTGCCACTGCCTGCCTCTGCATTGAGACCCTGGGCTTCCTTGGTGGTCTCCCATCCAAGTACCAACCAGGACCAGCCCTGCTTAGCAGCCAAAATCTGGTGAGATCGGGCTAAAAAAGAGGAAGTGGGCTGGAGTGTCTCCCAGTTCAATTAAGCATTGTAACAGAGAAATGGTCTCTCTCATTGCAAATCTTTGTTTACCTTTGACTTGAGGAGCAGGTCTTCCTTGGTGACCTCCCCTATGGAATCCAGGTGAGGACAAATGTCTCTTGGGTCAACCATTTTGTACCTGGGTGCACCTACGTGGAAAGACATCAGAAGACACTGGTTTAGTTTCAAGTCTAGCTTGGTCAGTGCATGTCTAAAAGAAGAAGCGTGGATGAACAAAACTAGCTTGACTTGCTGCTTTAGGTACAGGCTGTGCTGACTTGGAGATTCTTTTGCATGAGAGTTTTCTATTTTAAATTCCTGGTTTTTCCTGTTCACATGTGTGCCATTTTAAAATAGAAAAGTAGCCCCTAAATTATCAGTTAGAGGCTTGCAGTCAAATGCATGGCTGGTTATTTCAAGTGTCTCTTAAAAGCCCCCAAGCTAGGGAATCCAGTTCCATATGGAACCTACCCTGTGGGAGTGACATGAAGGGATGGTCAGAAGAGCCCACCACATTTTGCTGCAAGCCCCCATTTTTTGATGGCCACCTTTCAGCCAACCGCTCTCAAGACAGTTTAATTTTTATGCAAAGAGTTGGAAACAATTAAAACAAAGAAACAAAAAAATACAACAAGCAAGAGTGATTAAAACAGAAGCAGTCAGACACACAAAGTAAGAGAACAAAGCCTGTCAACTTTATTAAGAGAGGATGAGGCTTTAGAAAATTCAGCGGTAATTGACACTGCTTTGGTAACTATGGATAGAATAATCAGTACACAGAATTAAAAACAGAACATGCTTCCAAAGATAATAATTTGGGCAGGTAAATTGAGACATGTTAATGGCCAAGATTTCTGCAACAAAACAAGACTTCTTGCAAAAATCTGTTTATTCAGTGCTGGACTTTTATAAAATGCTGGAAACAAAACACTTTCATTAGAAGTGTTAACAAGGAAGTATTAAATTGTATATAATTTAAAGAGGTCCCCCCTCCTTTTACTCTTTCTCAGAAGGTCACTTGGATGTTCAAATTGTTTATTTTATATTTGCGTCCTACAGTCATATTGTTGTATTTCTGCATTTCTGTAATAAAAGAGAGAGGATTAAGCCTTCATTTATCTTCTAAAAATGGCACCAAAGCAGATGCTCCTTTATCCTCCTGCAAAATAACAAACTCCAAACCTCCAGGAAGGAGGGAATTTTACCATTCTCGAGAAACCCTACTAAAGTGTTATAACATTGACTATTCAGATTTGGGGAGCGTGCTAACTGTATAAGCATACAAGGATTTTTAATGTCACATCACAGCTACTCACCCCACACTAAGCCCAGTTTGGATTTAACAGGTGCAACTGGGATCTTACCTTGATGAGAAAGTGGAAGATACTCTTTCAAAGAGGCTCAGAATCCACGCTCCTGCGACTCAGTCTGCATTGTTGCACACCCAGGAAGAACCTGCCAAAACCAACGGGTTAATTCTCATTTACAAAGTGAGAACTCTGTGGGTACCAGCTGGTATCAGCCACACTGGAGGGTTTCTGATCATGGAGGAACTTGGCTCTGGAAAATCCGTAGGTGATCACCTCCTCCAGTAATACACATCTCAGAATATTACCCAGAGTCGTTTGGTGTCAGACTCATGCAACAATCACAACCAACAATTTGCTTCTTCAGAAGGAAAGTTTATTGATCAGTATCGGCAGAACATCTCTACTTCAGGAACTGTGTTAAGACTGAAGCATAAAGTGCGGGGTGAAGAGATATACAGTATTCAAAGGGGGGGGTGTCACTGGGTAGCTCAGAACCAATGAGGGGAGGGGAGGGTCCCGCCAGAATGTAACGTCCCCACTTTCCCAGAGAAGGTGGTATAGTGAAGCATTAAAGGCCAAGCACAGAAAACATACAGATAAGAGAGCGAGCATCACTGAGGCAACCAAGAAACCTCACTGGGGCAACCAAGAAACCGAAAGTACATTCCAAGGAGTGAACAATCCCCCCCCCCCCTTTATAGCAGCAAGCTGACATCTGGACTCAGTTCTCAATTGCTTAGGGGAGGTTGGGATGAGAATTATGAAATGTGTGTCCTTATTGTCAAGGCTGAGTATCAACTCCCAATTAAGTACTCTTGCCCAAGCAAACTTATATCACTACACCATGTCCTACCAGGAACCCTGGGGAGGAGAGAAAGAACAGCCCATTCATATCCAAAATATAAACACTTCACCATCTGCTCACCTGGCGGTCATTCTTACTCAAAGTTGAGTAGGCCTGTGACGAAATGGCTGCCAGGCCTTAAAACGGATAGTTCCTTATGTGTGTGTGGGGGTACTCCATAGGGAACAATGGAGCTGCCATACCTCCCTGCCTACACTTCCCAGCATCCCTTGGGGGGAAAGAGCGGGAAAAGAGGGACAGAGCCAAGGGGTGGGGCCAGGGAGAGAGTGACTGTTTGGCTCCTGAGGAAAAAAGTCAGTCTCAGCCTGGTCTTCAGCGTGGACCTGGGCAGGCTCAAGGAAGAGCGCAGGTGGGGCTCCTGTCACCAGAGACTCTGAGGGCAATCCAGGCCACTATTGACCATGGTGGAGAGCCAGGAGGGTGGCAGGGCTGGTGGCCAGTGTGGGGGAGAAGGGCTGGAGTTTCTCTCCACAACCGGAGAGGAAAACGCAAATCCTGGCCTGAGGCCGCAATCCACTACCGAAGTAGAGAGGGTGTGTGGCAGGGACAGAAGACTTGCGTTTTGATTCTGTTTGTTTTGTGTGCCCAGGTTGTGTGGAAGTGCCTGAGTTTATATTCTATGCCCAAAAATGTATATAGTTCAATAAATCTTCCTTTGTTGAGTTTAAAAAGCCTGGTGTGCCTTAACCACCTAGACTCCCCCGCTCTACACGTTACCAGGGGCAAAGGGAGGCCGGGGGGACTTAAACGGGCCTAAAACTGGTGGGTTGCCAACCCTCCAGGGGGCGCCCAAACATTGAGATAACCACTTCCCAAGGTGGGAAATTTAGCCAGAGGGGTCTCACTGTCCCTCAAGGAAGGCGGTGACTTAATTCAGTGAGTGGTGGCAGCCGGAACGAAGAGGAATAGCCTCACCAGGTAGGGTGGGAAGGACAAAACGGGGGCTTGCAAGCCCCAGGACGGCACCTCGGTTCCCCAGGGCTGAGGGTGGGTCCCCGTTTCGCCACAAGGCCTTAGGTACGTGCTGAATATTTAAAGTTCAAAATAGCTTGCTACAGTAGACAATTCATGCAGAAAGGCCAGAGGAGTTAGTTTTGCAACCCTGTGCTTGCAGAAAATCCACAGAGGATCTGCAGGGACGCCGCTAACCAAGGTATTCCAAGCACACAGTTAGGATTTCCTTTGCACAAATCTTTGCTGCACAGTGGGAATTGATGAAAGTCCAATATTCTTGCACATGTGCATAAATGCACCATTTTAAGTCTCTCAATTTCACCCAGAGCTGGGTCATATGTTAGACAGAGTTAACCAACTCAAAACAGCTAGTATGCTTCTAGGGTGCCCTGCTACCAGTCATGCCTCAAGATGTTTAACGCAAGATAGAGAGAAAAACTGATGTGACATCTAACTCTTACTGATCGAGACATAAAATAGATTTGCAAACTGAAGGGGTGGGAACACCACCAGCCATGCAAAGTGTACAATTCTGCAGGCCGACAAACTGGTACCAAACAGAATTTCAGCATTCTTTCCAGCCAGCAGGCTTAGCCACAGCCACTCCATCTAGTCAGCACTTGGCAAGGAAGAATGGTTGACTCATAACCAAAAAAAAGAGGGGGGGGGACACAAACTGGTTCTCTTTTAGGCCACAAAACTGTATACATGGACAGGCAGGTGAGTAGACTTTTGTGGGCTACTAACTTCTTTGGAGGCACAGTTATGCTTGGTGGTGGGGAGTTTTACCACATTTTGGCCCCGGTCACACGGGCCAGATAACGCAGGGGGGAGGCGTGGCTATTTGTGCTGCCGCAATTTAATCCGCCACTACCTGATCCGATGCTGTGGCGGCGGACCGGGGTTGCTTCTGGCGGTGCGTGTTTCTGGCACGCTTCAATGCAGCGAGAAGAGCGCGCTGGAGCTATCAGATGGAGGAGGTCCGTCTGCGGCTTGTCACAAGCTTTTGATAGTGGATTTTCACAGGTACCTTTTAACTTCAGATCTTTGACTGGACGGGTCGGGTTAGCTATGGGTGCGCGACGCTTGCCAGATGTGCCCGTTTGATCGTGCTGGTAAAACCCGCCCGGCATCTGTATCCCGCGGCAACTTCTGCGTGTGATCGGGGCCTTTGTGTGCCCATCAGTGTCTTCTTGCAGCACTGAGATCATAACAGTTCAAAAGTCCAAGAAAGAGCTGGTGAAGTCTGTACGGCAAGCATGGCAGAGAGATCTGGGGCCAAACCATGTTCAGTTTTTGCCTCCTAATGCCATTTTACATGGTAGCCAGCTTATACCATCATTTCCTATCAAATACCTTAGAAGCAGGAAACCAGCCATGGAGGTAGCAGGGCCCTTGGATGACCAGTACTGAAGGATGATAGTGAAATGGCTGAGAAGCTGAATGCATTTTTTGCCTCTGTCTTCACTGTGGAAGAGGAGAAGTGCTTGCCCACTCCAGAACTGCTGATTTCGGGAGGGGTGTTGAAAGACCTGAGTCAGACTGAGGTGATGAGAGAGGAGGTCCTACGACTGACAGACAACTTAAAGGTAAAGGTTCCCTTGCTCGAATGCCAGTCAAATCCGACTCTAGGGTTTCAAAGCCGAAGAGCCAGCGCTGTCCGAAGACATTTCTGTGGTCATGTGGCCGGCATGACTAAACACCAAGGCGCACGGAACGCTGTTACCTTCCCACTGAAGTGGTACCTATTTATCTACTTGCAATTTCTTGCTTTTGAACTGCTAGGTTGGCAGGAGCTGGAACTAGAGATGGGAGCTCACTCCGT